GATTCAGAAACAAAGTAGTGCAGCTGCTTTGTTTACAGGGTTTCCGGGGTAACGGCTGCATTTAAATGAATTATTATTATTATTTTTATTATTTCTGCAGTTTAGCGCCATCTGTTGTCAGAGAGTGAAAGTGCGCTTTCCTCCAGAGCGTCTCTCACGTGTTCCGCCATGTGCTTCTCGTCCGCGCTTGTTTACATCAGAGTGCGCACGCATCTTTCATGCAGCATACGGCGGTGTTGTGCATTTTGACCAGTTGATGGGAAAAGTATTCTTAAAATGCATTCAAAATTCTAAATAATTTGTAATATATAATTATTCACAGTATTTAGAAGTGCCCACGATAACAATATCGTGCATATTCATTACCGTGATATATCGCATCACCGAATACCGGCACAAGTCTAATCTGTATGCTTGTGTAAAAAAAAGCAAATAAAGCTTATATACACATATAAATATACATATAAATAAATTAAACATACAGGATAAATGTATGATACACATATACATCCATACATATTATGGATTTATTTATTCCTTTTTTTCTTTTATGTACTTTTTGTTCTTTATTTTAGTTTTTTTTTTATTTTTTGTATATTTATTTTTGTATTTAAAATTTTTTTTTACATTTCTTTGTATATTTATGCATTTTATTATATATTTTAGTTTTTTGACATTTCTTTGTATTTGTTTATTTATCTTTATTTATCTTTATTTAATTATTTATTTATTTTATTTATTTTTTATTTGCATTTTTAAACATTTAAATATACAATACACAGACACTCAAGTGTATATATTTTACATATATATATATGTATACATATATGTGTGTGTGTGAATAGATAGATGCTGTTAATCGATTAAAAACAATTAGCTAATTAATTGCACATTTTTCTGTAATTAATGATTAATCACACGTAACATTTAAATTTGAAGTCAGAAATATATTTTCACATTGAATCTCCAAATTAATGTAGAAACAACATTGAAGAAATTAATGTTTTTGACTGTACTCTCAGAGAAACAAACCAAAGTATTGATGACCTTATTTTGAACAAACATTTGTCCAAAAAGAGCCGTTTTCTTTGCCCCAGCTTCCTGTTTTAAAAGGAAATACATCAGTACAGAAGCGAAACAGCACTCGTCTTGTGGGTTTATGGAGTCTTTAATGTTTTTCTGTGTTTTGAGTGTTATTTTATTGTGGAGAACGTTTGACTGAAGAACATCAGAAAGACAAAACGATCTAGTGTTTGGATATTATGTTGCATATTCCGATCATTCTCAGCCGTTGGATCACCGTCGGCGTCTCTGTTCTCCAGGTTTCATCCCGGTCTGTAGTTTGGGTCTGTCTCAGGTGGGCCGTATGAATCTGGGGAAGGACGCCAGCACCTTTAAGTACTACACCATGTGCGGCCTGCAGGAGGGCTTCGAGCCCTTCGCCGTCAACATGAACCGCGAGGTGACCATGTGGTTCAGCAAACGCCTGCCCACCTTCTGCAACGTGCCCAAAGACCACCATCACATCGCGGTGAGCCTCGAGACCTTCCTTTCATTCTCAGTGTCCCGTCGAACCTTAATGAACTGCTTTTGTTCCTGAAAGAGCTGTTCTAGGTTCCTCCAGGACCTCACATCAATTCGGATGGAAATGTTCCAGATCAATATGAATGCATCTGTTTGGTCCTGTATCAGGGTTTGTGTGGCTCTAAAATGTTCTTAATTCCACAGATTAAAGCCTTAAAATGTCTTAAGGGGGGTCATAGGATGCCCATTTTCCACAAGTTGATATGATTCTTTAGGGTCTTAATGAAAAGTCTATAACATAGTTTGGTTAAAATTTCTCAATGGTAATGTAAAAAACACCTTTTTTACCCTGTCAAAAACAGCTCTGTTCACAGCGACCCGATAGGATGCCCATTTTCCACAAGTTGATATGATTCTTTAGGGTCTTAATGAAAAGTCTATAACATAGTTTGGTTAAAATTTCTCAATGGTAATGTAAAAAACACCTTTTTTACCCTGTCAAAAACAGCTCTGTTCACAGCGACCCGTTTTGGTGCATGTCCCTTTAAATGTTAATGAGCTCCGCTGACCCCGCCCCTCTCTTCCGAGCTGCTCTCATCGTGAAACTGGCTAATTAGCACATTATTAGGAAAGGCGATTAGCAAAGATTCATTAAAAAACCTTATACTCACTTCTTCTGTAGATGAAGCTGGATCACGAATGATTCGCGCAAACATAAACGCATTTATGTAGATCGGGGGCGCATTCCCTTCAGAAACAAATAATCCACTGCGAGTTCAGCGGCTCAAGAAAGGGGTAAAGATTTTAGTAGATTAACAAAAAACCACTGGGTGGATTTTTATCATTATAGGGTGGTTGTGTACACACACTGCCAACACACATTTCAGTTCAAACAACTTGTAAAAGTGCATGTAGCATCATATGACCCCTGTAAATCAGAGCTGAAAGTCTTAAATTCATTACATGTTGCAGCACTGCAAAAAATGGACATCTTCCTCAGTATATTTGTCTTGCTTTCCGATATAAACATCTAAACATCCTTAAATCAAGATGCATTTACTAGAGATGCAAAATGAACATAAGAAGTCTTGTTTTCTGTGAAATTGAACAAAGTGAGTTTATGATTAAAAATAAGAACAAATATCTGCCAGTGGGGTTTGAAAACTTGTTTTCCCTTTGAATTACATAGATTATTCTGAGCACACTGGCAGATATTTGTTCTTGTTTTAATCATAAACTCACTTCATTTTGATCAGTTTCTCAGAAAACAAGACTTGGTGTCTTCTGTCATTGTGCTTCTCCAGTAAATGTGTCTTGATTTAAGGATGTTTAAATGTTTGTACTGGAAAACAAGGCATAATGCAGTGCCATCAGAAGGTACAGTAAAAGTTATTTCCATATTAAAGTTAAAGGGATAGTTCACCCAAAAATGAAAATTAGCCCATGATTTAATCACCCTCGAGCCATCCTAGCTGTATATGATTTTCTTCTTTCAGACGAATCCAATTGGAGTTATGTTAAAAAATATCCTGGCTCTTCCAAGCTTTATAATGGCAGTGAATGGGTGTTATTTTTCAATAGCCCAAAAGAAGTCCAATAAAGTGCATCCATCCATCATAAAAAGTGCTCCACACGACTCCAGGGGGTGAATAAAGACCTCCTGTAGCGAATCGATGCGGTTTTGTAAGAAACATATCCATATTTAATATCCACCGCACCTTACGCTACGCCTACGTCATCCGCCGGAATGAACGCGCGTACGACAGTTAGCGGAAGCTAGAGATTAC